GAAATCAGGATACGCTATATCCACATAATTCCCCTGATCCACCAAGCTTGTAACTCAATCAAAAAAAGAAATAATAATAATAATAAATTTTTATTTATACCCCGCCCTCCCTGGTTTAAAAACCGGGTTCAGGGCGGCTAACAGCAAATATAAAACATTGATTAAAATGCTACTTAAAAACAGCATAAAACAGCATAAAATACAACATAAAATACAGCATCAATATCAATAAAATTCAAAAATTCAGGGGTCATTGGGGGGGGGGACCCAGTCAGTAGACATCAAATGATCACCAGAGCTAACTGGCCAAGTTGGTCCTACTAGGGCCAGCAAGGAGACCAGGGATGAATTTAAATGTGGGGTTCCAGAAAGGGTTTCTTCATAGAAGAGGAAAGGGAAAAGGGAATAGGGGATCAGGCTAATTCAAATTGAAGGGCAGGCGGAATAGCTCTGTCTTACAGGCCCTGTGGAAGGAGATCAAATCCTTCATCTGGCATTACTTGTTTTTGAGAAACTCATGCTAGGTCTTAGTAATCATTGCATCTATTTCCTGGTATCATCATCAAGCTGACCAGTTGGTAGTTACCTGGGTCTTCTTTTTCCCTATTTGCCCACCTCCAGTCTGCAGGTACCTCACCTGTTCTCCAAGAATTCTCAAAGATTATAGAAGGAGGCTCTGAGACTACACCTATAAACTCCTTTAGAAACCTTGGGTACAGCTCATCAAACCGTGGAGATTTGAATTTGAATTTTGGTAAATAGATGTGCAATGCATTATTGGCAATGAAAAACTTAAGTAATGCACATTACTAATGTCATCATGCATGATAGCATCCCAACTGAAGCTAGCAAGGTTCTAAAGAATTAACTTAAAAGCAGAACGGGGTGGAAGATTCACAGACCACATAGGACCGATGCATGTATTATGGCTGACACGTAGGTCATCATCCAGAATAGCAAACATAACAAAAAGTGCTGTGGCATCTACAAAACTTTACACATTTTATTACAGAATAAGTTTTCATGGACCAAAGCCTACTGAATAATGTGTGATCAGGTTGCATCTGATGGAATGGGTGCTAGCCCATGGAAGTTTGTGCAAGACCTTTGTATCATAATTTTGGTATTTTGTGAGTTTGGGGATGGGTCAATGTAAGGTTTGGCTATTAAAAGGTACATGGGGTCTACAGGGCATTTATTTATTATTATTATTATTATTATTATTATTATTATTATTATTATTATTTTGATACTGCTATCCAACCCAATCTGGCCATATCAAATTGCAGATCAATATAGCTAAATAGCAATAAGTTATTACCTCTCTATTATTTAAAAACAACAACATCAACAACAACAGAAACAAATGAATATATATATTGTTTCCCCACAAAAGTGGAAGGCCCCTTTTTGTGAAACATGGTAACTAAGGTTATTAGTTTACTCTTGTGCCTTTCCTGGTGTGTGTCTGTGTTTTTGTTCTTTAATAAAAATTATGCACACGCAGATACAGAAATACCTGCTTGCTTGCTCAGAACGGAAAAGGGAAGTGGAGGGCGAGGAAGAAGTGATTGAGGGGGAGAAGTAAAAAACAAAACCCAGATACATTTAATCAAGCTTTGCCCAAAGGTGTGAATTGCAAGCAGCAGAATAGCAATGAATATACATGACTGAAAAAACAAGAGATGTATGAAAGCTACTGTGGCAATTGTGGAGACAAAATATCAGAGCCGAATCGGCCTTTCTGAAATAAAGTCCCTGTGAGGAAGTCTTTCAAGTGCTAAAAGACTTTTTGTTGCTTTTGCTGTGACAGACTAACACAGCTACCCCTCAGGAAATTGTTATATGCAAATCAGACGATTTTCTCCATGCCACTGCAAACAGACCCAGAAAGATCATCTCTAGTGGTGTAGAGAAGCTTGTTCCACCCACATGATGAGTCATCGCACATGAACAGCTCATCATATGAAGGCTGAGGCCTGTAAACCGAAAATACAGCTCACCTCTCACCCCACAAACCAAATGTTAACTTCAGTCTTCCTCAGCTTTAGATTGCAGACCCTCCAAGTGTCCCTCTTTTCCAGCGGCAGTCCTGGGATTTACAGAAACTGTCCCGGTTTCTGGTTTGACCCCGGAATGTCCCGCTTTTCCTTAGGATGTCCCAATTTTCATCGGAGAAATGTTGGAAGGTATGCTAGGACATCCTTATTTTAATAAGAGAAATGTCGAAGGGGGTGGAGTTATGCGACCCCCAAGCCAAAGAGATAAGTAACTATACAACCTTTAGAAGACATTAAAGGCAGCCCTGTATAGGGAAGTTTAATGTTTGATGTTTTGTTGTGTTTTTATATATGTTGGAAGCTACCCAGAGTGGTTGGGGCAAACCAGTCAGATGGGCGGGTTATAAATAGTAAAATGTTGTTGTTGTTGTTGTTGTTGTTGCTGAATAGGACATCCCTATTTTCATCAGAGAAATGTTGGAAGGTATGAGATTGCCTGGGTCATACACACACCACTACAAAAACTACCTAATAGCATCCGTGTAGAATGACCTCAAATGGCCATGTGGCAGCCATAATGTTTTCACCAACAGTTAATAATCTAAGCTCATTGCCTTCAGCACCAATGCTAGTTTAAAAGATTGATGAGTGGCCACCTGCAGGGTGTATTAACTCACAATTTTGTGTATTGGGGCACTTTGAAGAATGTTCTGGAAGAGATGGCACCATCTTGTATCTAGAAGAATAACAAGATTCTATCTGGCCATTTCCTCTCATGACTTCTGTGCATTAATCACCTATATAATATTGATAGCTAATTGTTTTTTAATGATTGCTTTAATGATTGCTTTCCCCAGCTATGTTTCTATTTGTTTCCATTTTAGCTGTAAGCCACCTTGAGTCCCTGTCAGGGAAAAAGGCAGGGTATAAATATAATAATAATAATAATAATAATAATAATAATAGTTGTTGCTGTTGTTGTTGTGGGATAGAACAAATTTTGGGGTAACTCAAGAAAACATGATATATACTGTACTTCTTATTTAAAAGTGATGAGACCTTGCAAGTGAGCACACATAATTGTAGTGGCCATTGAAAGGTGCATGCAAATAGTAGATGATTTTTGGCTCCAGTGAAAGGACTTTCATCTTGGTTTGGAAGATACTGCATTCTCTTGGAAGGATCATTTCTATACCTGGAAGATTTGCCTGAATTCTACTTTGTCGGGATAAAGTAGTCTTGGTGGGCTGGCGCACCAGCTGCAGCTTCTCCTGGGCAGAGACATCCACAAGGGCAGGGAAAACTGGTCACAGTTATCCATGCCCTCGCCACCTCCCAAATGGATTACTGTAAAGTAGAGCTGCCTTTTGACATTTGAGTTGGCACAGAATACAGCTGCCATGATTTTGAGTGGCAAAGCCTATTCAAACAATAGTGTTGAAAGCACTCAGCTGACCTCCTGTCCAATTCCGAGTCTCAGCATACTAGCAACTGACTATTCCTAAATGCTTTGAGACCATGGACCCAAAGCAGTGCCTTAGCCCATACCATCCTTCCCCTTTCTCTGATCATCTGATCATCTTTAATGTGTAATATTTTATTATGTTTTTGTATATGCTGGAAGCCACCCAAAGTGGCTGGGGCAAACCAATCAGATGGGCACAGTAAAATAATAATAATAATAATAATAATAATAATAATAATGGGCTGGAGCCTCTCTGTCTTCTCCTTATTGGTGTGAAGCAGGTGCTTGACAGCTACAGAGAGCTTTTTCAGCCCTAGGGAGGTTAACCTCACTGCTTTTATTTAGATGCCAGAGAAAGAAACTTTACATTCTCTCAGGTTTATACATTTCAGTTATTTAAAATCTTGCTGATGGACTTTGTTCTAGCTGCTAATTTATCTGATTATGTGGGTTTATTGCTTTTAGATGTTCATTGTGCAAAGTGCTCTGGAGCCAAGTTTGGTGGAGGGCAGTATTAATTTTTTAAAAATAAATAAAGCAGCAGTGGCAGTAGTCACAGTTATCATTTGGGATCAGTTCAGGGCTATTATTCAGGGCTGCCCTAATGGTGCTGCTACTAACTTTGTCAATACAGTGGTACCTCGGGTTAAGTACTTAATTCGTTCCAGAGGTCCTTACTTAACCTGAAACTGTTCTTAACCTGAAGCACCACTTTAGCTAATGGGGCCTCCTGCTGCCACCATGCCACCAGAGCACGATTTCTGTTCTCATCCTGAAGCAAAGTTCTTAACCTGAAGCACTATTTCTGGGTTAGCGGAGTCTGTAACCTGAAGTGTATGTAACCTGAAGCATATGTAACCCAAGGTACCACTGTAATGCATGTATATGTTTACTCTGAAGTAAACCTCAATGAGTTCAATGGGACTTACTCCCAGTAACTGATTTTATTCATCTTTAAAATTTATTTCCAAACGATGTAACATTTTAAAACATTTTAAGAGATTGACAAAACCATACACTTCATAAAATTATGCAACAGAGCTAAAAACGGAAATCCAGTGATACAGGTTGAAGTCTTGGGGATGAGGAAAAATCTGTGCAAAAAGATGCATCCTTAAAAGACACCTGAATAAAAGAATTGATGATGATGCATATAGGGGCAATTGCAGAAAATGTGTTTTGGATTGCAACCTAACAAGTCATATATTGTGCCTTGGGGGGTCAATTCAACTGTACCACAAACTTCATGATATTGGAGAATTTTTCAAGTTACATGTGTAACATCACTTAAGATGATGAGATAATAAGGGAGATTATGTATAAAATTATGTATGGTGTAGGAAAAGTGGGTAGGGAGCCCGTCTCTCATGATAAGACAAGAACTCAATGACATCCAATAAAACCAAATGTGGGAACATTCAGAGCAGACAAAACAAAGTACTTCTTCACACAGTTTCATTTTCACAGAATTATAGAGTTGGGAGGAACTCTAAGGATCATCTAGTCCAACCCCCTGCAATGCAGGAATATGCAGCTGTCCCACATGGGGATTGAACCTGTAATCTTGGTGGTATCACTTCCACACTCTAACCAACTGAGCTATCCAGGCAGTCCCATTCCAGAATGATCATTTTACGATTTATACCCCACACATCTTACTGGGTTGCCTCAGCCACTCTGGAAAGCTTCCAACACATATAAAAACATAATCAAACATTAAACTTTTTAAAAAAAACTAAAAAAAGCCAAAACTTCCCCATACAGATGAGCCTTCAGATGGCTCAGGGGTTGGGTAATTTCATACCCTCCAGCATTTCTCCAATGAAAATAGGGACATCCTAAGGAAAAGTGAGAAGAGAAGACTCCCTGGAAAAGACCCTGATGTTGGGAAAGATGGAGGGCACAAGGAGAAGGGGACGACAGAGGACGAGATGGTTGGACAGTGTTCTCGAAGCTACAAACATGAGTCTGACCAAACTGCGGGAGGCAGGGGAAGACAGGAGTGCCTGGTGTGCTCTGGTCCATGGGGTCACGAAGAGCCGGACATGACTAAACGACTAAACAACAACAAGGAAAAGTGGGACATTCCGGGATCAAATCTTGGGCGTCCCAGGAAAATAGGGACACTTGGAGAATCTGCAAGATGCAGTGGTGGCCACTAACCTGAATGGCTTTAAAGGGGACTTAGAGGAATTCATACAGGATTTATCTGTATCAGTGGTTACTAGCCGCAAAGGTGGTGTTCTGCCTCCACCGTCACAGGCAGTATGCCGATGACTACAAGTTGCTGGAAAGCACAAGTTGCACTTAGGCCTCACTTACAGGCTTCTCACAGGGATCTGGTTGGCCACTATCAGAAGAGGATACTGGACTAGATAGGAATTGGGCCTGGATCCAGCAAGGCTCTTGTTTATGTTCTTAATTGTAATACATACCACCATCATCTCATATAGACCATGTTGCATGTCATTGGTCTGCAAGCTCAAAGTTCCAAAGCAAAGAAGGAAGTACTCAATTGCATCTACGACCTGGGCTAAACAGACAATAGTGGCAACTTTACACTGAATGATGGGATATGGAAGTATCCCTGGGTGCATTTGCATCTCCAGTTACAAAGGCCCAGGTAGCCTTAAGAATTTAGAAGGCTTCCCACTGGATAAGGTGCTGCAAATACACAGAGCTTGTGCAAGCATTCAGTGCCAGGTTGCAAACTGTGGCTGCCAGATAATGGGTTGTAACAGGTGCAGTAGATAATATCTGGAAGCTCCCCAGAGCCGTATCACTTGTTATATACAGTGGTACCTCGAGTTAAGTACTTAATTCGTTCTGGAAGCCTGTTCTTAACCTGAAACTGTTCTTAACCTGAAGCACCACTTTAGCTAATGGGGCCTCCCGCTGCTGCTGTGCTGCCGGAGCGCAATTTCTGTTCTTATCCTGAAGCAAAGTTCTTAACCCAAGGTACTATTTCTGGGTTAGCGGAGTCTGTAACCTGAAGCATATGTAACCCGAGGTACCACTGTACTTTGCAAGACAAAATAACACTATGAAAGAAAGTCACCTGGAATATTGCACTATAACAGCGACTCAGGATAATTCAGCTGAAGCAGTGCAAGACACAACACAAGACAAAGATGTAGCAGTGACATGGCTAAACTTATTCTGATACAGTGTTATGAGGTGGGGGGGTTGGGGAGGAGGTAGGTATGTTGTATGCTTGAGGCCCCCTTCCAATTCCTGGATCTAGAACATATTCAATTGCTGGAGTAGCCAAGCCAGCCTGGTAATGGCCCACTAAGTTTGGGTCAATAAAGAAACAAAGGGTTCTGTGCCAGATGGCAAATGGGTCGGCTTCCTGCCTCAATTGTCTGTTAGTTAGAAAGACGAAAGGTAGGAGTGGAGAGCTGAGTTACATGACCCTGAAGCTAGAAGCAAAGCAGCAAGCTAGAAAGAGTGCCATCCCTGGAATCCAAGGCTGTGCCTATGGGAGAAGTAAGGCCCTATTGTGGGGTTAATGCTGCGAACCCCTCCATCGTAGGCTCGGGTTGTATATATGTGTAAATCAACCATTTATCAACCACAGTCTCTGCTGTGCCTCATTCCAAAGGAACGCTGGGTAAATGCCTGGAACCCCTGGACTCTCTCACTGCTCAGAGATTGAGGTGGCATGCAACAATACCAACAGGGCCAAGAGATCTTGCTTGTACCAATGCATATACTGGGTGTCTGTATGGCTCACAGAATGTTGATTATCTGCTTGTCCAAGGGCAAAACTGGGTTGTAAGGCACAAACCAGAGCAGTAATGTCTAGATGATTATACCATAGTAGGACATCTGGAATAGGGGATAAATGAGGAATAGCGGAAACCGTATTATCCAACAGATGTGCTGTGGGGCAGTGACTTGACTTAGGGAGACCTAGGTTCAAATTGCCACTCGGCCACGAAGTTTAGCCTTGGGCCAGTCACTGTCATTTGCCATACCTCCCTCACTGGATTACTGAGGAGACAAAAGGGTCCAGTGAGGACCGTTTGAAGACAGGTGGATGTAAAGTAAATGTAACATGGAGCTATGATTCAAGCAGGCCTCCTAGCCCAGAAGCCCTTTTCCTTGGTTAGAGCATGGTGCTGAGAATGCCATGGTTGAAGGTTCGATCCCCATACGGGACAGCTGCATATTCCTGCATTGCAGGGGGTTGGACTAGATGACCCTCAGGGTCCCTTCCAACTCTACAGTTCTATGATTCTATGAAGGGCCTGATGATGATGATGATGATGATGAAAGTCCTGCTTGTGGGCTTCCCATAGATATATGCCTTGCCACAAGGAGCTACAGGATGCTGGTCTAGATGGGCCTCTGATCTAATCCAGCATGACTCTTTGCTACATCTTTCTGTTCCCTTACATAGGAGCCAGCTCTGATGGGCTGAGGTCCCTTCATGCTCCCCCATAAAATATTTGAGGGGGCCACCCCCACAAAGTCAATGCCATAGAAGAATCAGATCCTCCAAAGTCGAGATGGGAGAAGACTACCATTCAAATGGTGTGCATACGCCACACCATGTGATCTGATTATGTGGGGGACAGGGCTTACCTGCCTGCCCCCCAACATATTTTATTCAAGTTGGCACCGCTGTTCCCTTATGCTCATACATGTACACACATACACATCGCAAGTTGCATATATTCCATTATTTATATTTTTAAAAATGCCGGTTGCCCAGGCCTAGGAGAAGAGGCACCAGCAATAAACTGTAAACCAGGCTTGGCTCCAACTCGACCGAGGTTCAGATTTTTCAGAGGGCAGCTTCGAGGTTTCTCCCACCCCCTCGCAACACCCCCCATGCCGCCGTATCTGTGCTGCGTTCAGAAGTTGCCGTAGTAGATCCTCCGAAGTTGAGAGGGGAGAAGACACACCCCCAACTGTTGTGCAGCGGCCCCCCCCCCTCGCCGCCGCCTCTCCGGTTCCCCAGGCAGAGCCGAGGAGTCGTGTGGGTTGCCCGCCTCCGCCGAGCGTGGCCTGGGTCTCTGGCTCCCGCTGCGGAGTCAGGCGGCGACGGCAGGGGTTGCCCAGCTGTTCCAGTGCGGCAATGGTCCCTCCTCCCAGCTGCGCCTGCCTCATCTCCCCCCACCCAGCAGCCCGTCCCTCCCCTCCGCCGCTCCCGACGCTGCAGCCGCGGCCGCCACCTCCTCCTCGTCCCAACCCCCAGCCTCCCTCTCTCCCTCCCTCTCTCTCTCTCTCGCTCTCCCCATCTCCTCTCCTCTCTGTCCGGTTTCTCCCTTTCCCGCCGGCGGCGGCCCTGGCAGAGTAGGCACCGCAGGGCGGAGAGGGGCGAAAACCTCCATGTAACACCATGACAGGCATCGCCGCCGCCTCCTTCTTCTCCAATACCTGCCGCTTCGGGGGCTGCGGGCTGCCCTTCCCAACCCTGGCCGAGCTCATCGAGCACATCGAGGACAACCATATCGGTGGGTGAGCGAGAGGGTCGGGCTTCCCCCCCCCAACTACCCACCCCGGCAGGCGCGTGGGCGTGGGGCGGGGGAGGGGGGCGGCGGCGGCGGCGGGCAGAGACCCCCAACCACGCTAGAACGGCGGGTGGGCGGGAGCGGCTCGGAGTGCCGAGCGGGGAAGGAGGGAGGGGCGTGGGGGGTGTGGGGTGAAGCGTCTGGGGGACTGGCGGGCGAGGCTGCCGCCGGGGATGAATGGGAGGGCAGGGGCGGCGGGTGAGGGGCGGCAGCAGGCACGAGGGTGGGTGTGTTGTGCGGGGAGGGGCGGCGGCGGCGGCGGCTGTTTGGCGAGTTGGGCGCCTGAGGTACTCGGCCGCCGGGTGGCTGGCGTGGCGCGTGCAGCCCCGGGGCTGTTGCAAAGGCGCCGGAGTTTGCCTTGGCAGCCGCGGCGCGCCGAGAGACCCGGAGGGAGGAGGAGGAGGAGGACGAGTCCAGCACGCCGCCTGCTGCTTCCGCCCCAGCTCTGGCTGTCAGGGCTGTGTGGGGAGGGAGGGAGGGAGGGAGAAGCCGCCGCTGCCGCTGCCGGCGAGGCGGCCATTCCGCTTCCTCCTCCTCCCGCTGCAGCGGCGGCGGCGGCTGCGTCCTGTCAGCGCTGTTGCTAGGTGTGGAGGCGAGGAGGAGGAGGATGGCGCGCGCGCGCGGGCTGCTCGCTCGCTCGCTGGCTTTCTCGCCCTGCCTCTCTGGCGGGCCAACCCCGGGCCGGCCTCGCTCACTGCACCCGAGGCGCCTCGCGGCGGAGGCGGCGCGTCACGCAGGCAGGCAGGCAGGCCGGAGGGACGGACAGGGCGTGCAGGGCCCCGGCAGCGGGGAAGGGTTGCTGGTGAAGGAGGTCAAGTGGCTGCCGCAGGGGAAGGGACGAGGTCTCCGCCGGGGGACTTGCCGGCTGGCGTGGTTGCGTCAAGGGGGCGCCGGGCGGGGAGGAGCCCCCGTCGCCCGGGCGGAGCCTCGCCTCTTTTCCCCGGCTGCTTCCACTGGGAGCCGAGCTGGGCCTCTCCGCCAAGGACCTCTCCTGGAGATCGCGCGTGGCGGCGCGGCCAGGTCAGCCTTGGGATCCGGGGCCGCCGTCACCTGTAGGATTTCGCTTCCCCTCCCTGCCTGGAGTGTC